AAAAAAAAAAAAAAAGAAAGAAAGAAAGAAGATGGGCGAGGTGGCACATGCCTGTAATCCCAGTACCTGGGAGTCTGAGGCAAGAGAATCACAAGTTTGAGTCCTGCCTGGGCAACTTAGCGATTTAGTGAGATTCTGTCTCAAAGTTTAACAAAGGGCTGAGCATGTAGCTCAGTGTAAAGGCCCTGGGTTCAATCTCTAGTACTGAAAAAAAAAAAAAAAAGTCATAGGCCATGACCAAGCATCAAGCAGCGTTCTATAGACAATCTGTCTGTGTGAGTCAGCGTGTTAACAGATCAGAAGACAAAGGTTTTGATAAAATTGAACGCCTGCTCACGAGAAAAGCTGCTGGCCAGAGAGGAAGGGAAAGAAACTGCCTGGCATGCAGGTGCCAGCTTCTGCAGCCCACAGCGAACATCTTCCCAGCACAAGGTGTCAGATGCTTCCTTTTAAAGTCCTGACGGGACTCGGAGGTGGCTGCCACAGCTTGGATTCAGCATCGTAACCTGTGTCACCCCGACAGTTAAAGGAACACGAGATACACAGATTGGAAACTTCCCTGGGACAAAAGATGGTGTCGCCAAAGCGGAAACCCCAAGCCGGGGCTGGGAGGCGGTATCTGCAAAACATGGAACTGGTGAAGGGTTGGTGTCTGAAACACTGAAAGAACTCTTATGAATCAACGTGAAAAAGGACAGATCAAGCCCACAGAAAATGGGTCAGGGTCACAAATAGGCATTTCACAGAGGAGGGGAGCGGAAATGGCTCACAGACCTACGCAAAGAGGTCCAACTTTTAGGGCAGAAAAATGCAAATTCAAACGTCAATGAGATACAATTTCACACCACCAGACGATCAGAGTTGTGAATTTGGACAGCAGCCTCTCCCGGCCCTGGGGTACAGGACAGGGGGCGGAGTGGGGGCTGTTGTCCTTCAGGAAGTGGCTCCAGCTGGCTGAGAGAGCAGCAGACAGAGGGGACAGTGCTGCTTGGGTCCTTCCCAGCCCGGCTGTGCCTCTTGGTGGCAGGTCCCCTCCCAGGCAGCCAGATGTGCAGCTTCTGGCCACTGCGCCTGGGCCCAGCTTGCAGAGCAGAGCTGGAGAGTGGGAGAAAGGGACCCTGCCCTGACAAACCTTCCGAGAGGCGTGTACTCCTGCCCCCGCCACAGCTGCGAGCTGAGCAGGCATCAGACACCAGGCCCAGCCTCTGGCTGCCCCCACATCCCCCGCAAAGTCTTTGCTTCTGGCCAGAATCATCTTCCCATCTGCCACTTAGTGAGTCCGGCTGAGTGCCCGGAAGCGTCCTGTTAATCGAAACCAGCATCTGGGGGCCAAAAGACAAGGTCCCAAAGCGGGGAGGGGCACACCTGAAACCGAAAAACACAGGAATGATCCGGGTGTAGTGGCACACACTCTGAACTCTGGGAAGCTGAGGCAGGAGGATCACAAGTTTGAGTCCAGACTGGGCAATTGAGTGGCTTAGTAAGACCCTGTCTCAAAAAGTAAGACGGATTGGGATGTAGCTGAGTATAACAAACAAAAGGATAAAAATGTAAAGCACGTGCTCTCAGTAGCACTGTGAGGTCTCATTCTTACTAGGGTGTAAATGACTAAAGAGGAGTAATGAGGAGCCCATCCTGGGTTTTAGGCCCATGCTGGCCACCACTCAAGGGTGTATCCACACCTACGCCATCCCCAGCTCTGTGTTCTAATCTGTAAAGCAAAAGGACTTTCATGCCAAGATCCTTCCTGTCTTATGATCATGTGGGAGATTTGCTTTTTAATATTAAAGTACAAATAACTAGACTTTCTCAGACATGCCGTGTAATCCTGCCTTCTCTAACCAGCCCAAGGACCCCAGGAAGGTGTGGATTATCCTTGTTTTATGAGCAAAGCAACTGAGATTGGGAGACTTAAATCGCTTCCCCAGGATCACACAGTTGGCCCAGGGGCAGGACTCAGAGAGATGACTAAACTATTAAGCAACTGCTGTGAACTCCTGCACAACTGTCTTTGTTAATCAAGTGCGTTTTAAACTTTTCAGTGAGGGGAAACTGTCTCTCAGAAAGAACCAGATCGTGTCTGCTGGAAAATACAGGCAATCGGAAGAGGAAGAAAAGAAAACTCCATCCTCAGTAAAGGACTCTGCCTGGTGCTGGGCGTATCCACCCAGTGCTCCACCAGTTGCCATGGCAACCTCATCTGGGGAAGGTGTGGTCCAGGTTTGACCCTGAGAGTCCAGTTGACAGGAAGACAGTGGCTCCTAGGAGCAGGGCCAGGCGGGTGGGTGGCCTGGAAGAAAACATGCAGAGCTGGGCCTCAGGCCCTCTTGTCTGCCTCTCGTCCCACCACCTGGGTGATTAAGCCAGTGACTTGGCTTCAGGTATTTTTGCGGGGGACAGGGTCTCACTGTGTAGCCCAGACTGGCCTCAAACTCAGAGTAATTCTCCTGTCTCAGCCTCCTGAGTTCTGGGATTGCAGGTGTGTGCCACCACACCCGGCCTTTGTCTTCAGTTTTTAAAACCCTCCTATCATTTCCCTCTGAAAACCTAGAGGTGAAGGACTTGGCCCTTCTTGCTGTATTTTGGGGACTTCGCCTGTCCCCTCAGGAGGTCATCATTTCCTCCTTCCAATCCTTGGCTGGGATGAGGTGCACTGCAGTCCAGCTCTCAGGGGCCCCCAGGCAGCTCCCCATGCTCCAGAGGCTGCTGGGCTGCTGGCTTTGCCTCAGGCCCCTGGGCCTTGACCCTGGCTATGGAGCCGTGATGAGAGGGATTCCTTCCCAGTGACACAGATCAGGGGCAGTGGGGCTGCCACATATCCTAGTGGGTCAGGAATCTCAGAGCTGTCTCCCTGGGCTGCGCCTGGTGTCATTTACCATTTCTTTCTGGACCTGGGGAAAAGGGGAAAAGCACATCAAACCATAGCTTCCAATAGCAACACAGGCTCAGAAACCCACCCAGGTGAAGCTGCAGAGTCACGCGGCATGCACAGTGGTGACCCCAGCTGGCTGCAGAGACGCTGGCTTCGGAGGTCGTGAAAGGTCCTTTGAACGCCGGTGGATGTTCCTGGCGGACTTGAGATCCCTCCATGGAGCAACCTAGCACATCAGTCCTCATCCAAGCATCCCCAGCCACAGGGACCCCAATCTGTCCCCAAGCAGGGGCCACAAACTACTCTACCCCCAGGGTTCTCATGTCCCCGCCCTCTGCTGTTGGTTCCGGGATGTGGCCCAGTCTGCTATGGGGAATAGCGCTGGCGATCAGGATGCGAATTTAATCAAACAGCCCTGCTGCGGCCTGTTACAACTCACGCATGCAGGGCCGAGCTATACTCACCTCCAGGCATCTGTCTGGCAGCTGACGCAGCCATGACAGGGCCACAGCAGCCCCACTGGGCCCCAGAATCCAGGCACCGATGTCCGAGGACCTCTGTTCCGTGACTCGGCTCCAGCATACGTGTTCCTGAGGTTTGCCAGGTGGCCAAAGCCACCAGAAGAAGTAGTTGCCAAGGAAAGGCTTTGGTGTCTGACTTTGCCACCTGTGGGACCTAAGCAATGGGGTAACCTCTCTAATGTCCATTTTCGTTACCTGTGAAGGAACGGTCAGGACATCTGTGGTGCACACCTGTAACGCTGGCACTCCGGGAGGCTGAGGTAGGAAGATTTCACATTCAAGGACAACCTGGGCAGCTTAGCAATTTAGTGTGGCCCTGTAAATAAAAGATTTAAAAGGGCCGGGGATGTAGCTCAGTGCAAAGCTCCTGGGTTCAATCCCCAGTACTGCAGGCAGGGGTGTGGGAGGATTAGAACTATTGCCCCGTTTTATTGTGGAGAAAAAAACTGAGGGCCCACTGGCAAGGAGCAGCTGAGCTGAGAGGGGACTGGGCCACCGCCTCCTCCTCCTGGGCTCCCTGACTGGGGATCACGTTTCTCCAAGGAAGCCTCCTTGAATGTGCCACCATGACTGGATCTGTCTGCTTGCAGGAAGCAAAGGCCCAGCTCTTTTTCCCACCAGAGAGGGGAAGATGAAGGTGGATGCCTGGCCTGATTCCAGGTTTCTGGCTCCGGTTACAGCCACTGACTCAGAGAACAAGTTGCTCCCTGTATTAGGCGGATGGGGGACTGAGGCCCAGAGTGGGTTACATTCTGCCTGAGGATGCACAGCAAAATTCTGGGCTCCAGTGCTTGACCCAAATCCGGGTTCTAGCCGATTGCTGATAGGGGAAGAGTGGGTTTGCTGACATACTTCAGAAGGGGCACACTCCCAGAGCAGAAGACTGTCCCCTGGCCTCAGCAGCCAATAAGAGTAGTGGGGAGTCACCAGCAGGGCCTGGCAGCACCTCCTGCAGCCTTCTTGAGCTCCTTTGGGCCTTTTGTATGCAGAGGCTGTGGAGAAGGCAGTGGGGGCTGGACCTTCCCCAGACGCAGTCCCTGGGGGCAATGTCATAGCTCTGCCCCGAGCTGTACAGCTGTACACTGGGACCACAGTTTGAGTCCATCCAGGGCAACACCAGGTTGAAAAGTTTCGTCCACACTGTTAGTTGCAATATGTCTCCTACTATTGCTATGTGATACCACAGTTTGTAAATGTTAATTTATGCATCTAGTTGGCCACTGATGAGGAGTGAGGTTATTTTATTTTTGGTTATTCTGAGCCGTGGGGTTATGAATATCTACAGCATGGCTTTTGGTGAGTGGATGTATTCATTTTTTGTAGGGTACATGGGACTGGAGTTACTAGGTCATAGTGTGGGCTTATAGTCAACTGTCTGAAAAATTGCCAGATGCACATGTATAATGCCAGTGCTCTGGGAGGCCAAGGCAAGAGGATCACAAGTTCGAGCCTAGCCCAGGCAACTTATCAAATTAGTCCTATTTCAAAATAAAAAATAAAGACTGGGAATGTAGCTCAGTATGAAGGTCCAGGGTTCAATCCCCTGTACCAATAAATAAATAAATGGACGGAAGGAAGGAAAGAAGGAAGGCAGGGAGGAAAAACCATCAGGTGGTTTTTAAAAGTGGTTGTATCATTGATGCTCCCACCACAGGGCATGAGAGTTCCAGATGCTCCACATCCTCTCTAGCACTTGGTAAAAAGATCCTTCAGTTGTCTTTTTAACATTAGCCATCCTGGTGGATGAGTAGGAGTATGGCCCTGTGGTTTCCTCTGCATTTCCTGGTTGTGGCCCGGAAGCTGAGGCCTTGCTATATGATCAGGGCCATTTGGATATCTTCTGTAAGAATATGTGTTATACTCAGTGATGTGCTTCTTAGTTCTCTTAATGGTGTCTCTGAGTCGAAAGAGTTTTCATTGTAATGAAAATTTTCTATAGTGTGAATGCTTTTCGGGTCTTGCCAAAGAACTCTTGATCTGTTTCAGAGGTCATGAGCCAGTCTCCTATTTTCTTCTAAATGCTGTAGTTTGTTTTACCTCTTCTATTTAGATCAACAACCCATCTGGAATTGACTATTGTGTATGGTGTGGCTTAGGGATCAGATTTTTATTTATTTTTTCCATTTGGATATCTGGTTGACCCAGCCTTGGTTATGGAAAAGACTAGCCTTTCTCTGTTGTGCTGAATTTGAGACTTTTTCATAAATCAGGTGACTGTATCAATTTGTGTACTTTTGTACCAATAATAATGTGTCCTGATTAGTTTAGAAGTTTTCAATTCTGTTAGTATAAATTTTCCATTTCTGTTCTTCAAGATCACCTTAGCTATTCTTGGGCTTCTGCATTTTTATTTATATTTTAGAATCAATTTGCCATTTTTCCACCCAAAGAGAGGAAAAAAAAAAAAAAGAATAAACTTGTTAAGATTTTCAGTGGGACCACACTGAATCTACTGATAATATCCTTATAATGGAGTCTTCCAATCCATGAACATAGTATATCTCCCCATTATTTAAGTTTTAAATTTCTGTCTGTGCTGTTTTGTAGTTTTCAGTGGATTTAGTCCTAGGTAATTTCATACTTCATGATGTATTTATAAATGTTATCATTTATAATTTTTTATTTTTTGTGCATTTGTGGTATGTAGGAATATGGTTGATTTTTATAAATTGTGTTTGTGTTCTACTGACCCTGCTAAACTAATTTAATAATTCTAATAATTCCTCTTTTAATTTTGTCAAAGAAAAGATTTTTGGGGTGTGGTCCAGCCATAGTGCAAGATCTGTTCGCCTTGATTTCCCGCTGGAAGTGGGTGTAGCGAGCCAGTCAGCTTAGCAGATCCCCCAGGGCCATGATGGGGTACAGAAGTCACAGATGGACTTTGCCTACACTGAGCCATGGTCTGGAGCCTGTCATCACATTAGCTTGAGAATTGCTGCTCTCACCAGGGGACCTAGCCCGGCTCACCAGAGCCTTGTGGGAAGAAAGAATTGGACTTAATTGACTGGGGTTTATTTTTATCCAGTATGGCAAGACTTGCAGACATGAAATGACTCTCTTGAGGAAGAAGTTCATAATCACTGGTCCCTGGAAATAAGAGCCATGTCTCGCACACAGGACCCCACAGGGAAGCACCACAGTTGGTCAGGAGTCAGAGGCAGGGAAGGGAGCACACAGGCAAGAGGCTTCATCGTGGTTTCATAGTAAATCATGGGTGAAACAAGGGAAGCAGGCTTTGGATTGGTTTATTTGAATAATTGCAGCAGACTCTGGGATGTAGTTTCTGTCCTCGGTTGTCTGCTTCCTGGCCCTGGAGAGATTAGAGTGGGGAAATAACGGCCTTACAAAGGAGGCTGTTGGATGAGGTGGGCTCGGTTTCCATGTGAACAGTCTGTTTTTAGGAACTGACCAGCCCTGGAGAGGCACTGATGTCAAAGCACCAGGAACACAGAAAATAAAAAGTCATGATTAATACTCCCAGCAAACTGTGGCTATGGTGGGTACTTGGGCCTTGGTCTGAGGGAGGAGGCTGGCAGCAAGTAGGGCTCATCTGCTATGAGGCCATGTTCTTGACCAAGTCCCATTCCCTCTACGGACCTCAGTTTCTCTATACATAAGTGATTTCCAAAGTCTGCTTCTACCCCGTTCAGACTAAGAGCTATGAGCAAAGGATCCTTGAGGAGTGACTGTTTCATTTATTTCTTGGCTGTTAATTACTTGCTGTTGTATGAGTCAATAGCTTGGTTCATGCACATGGGAATGAGAAGCCACAGGCGCTTCCTGAGCCCACGAGCAGGGAGCCACCTTCAGAGCTTCAGTAGCCCCGAGGTGAGGGTCACCAGATCAGGAGCTCAGAGCTGGGGAAAGCCGGAGACCTGGGTACTGGTCACCCCCGGGACCCACTGCGAGAAGCTGGCTTTGCATCTCAGGGACTGAGGCGAAGGACCAAGGTCAAGGCAGGCACCTCTCTCCCCAGGGAGGGTCCTCAGCACACGCTCAACCCTAATGAGGTAGGGATGGTTGGCTCTATTTTTAGACCAGGAAACTGAGCCAAAGCAGTATAACATCACCCAGAAATTTATGAAAAGGAGGACAAAACTCACCCATAATCCTACCACTGTAGCTATTTTTATTCTTCTTGGTCTTCTTCCATGCCCAGCTATAAATCTTCTGTAAAATTATAAACAGAACACAGATACAATTTTGTATGTTTTCCACAGAGCATCACGAGCGTGTTCCATGCCTCTTCTCGGTTAAAACATTTAATTATATCACAGGCTGGGGTGTGGCTGAGTGGTAGAGCAAGTACAGATGTGCACCAGGCCCCAGGCTCAACCCTCAGCACGAAAGAAAATCCACAAAAAACAGTTTTTAAAAATCTAGGGGCTGGGGATATAGCTTAGTGGCACAGCGCCTGCCTGGCAAGCGCGAGGTCATGAGTTCAGTTCCTGGTACCAAAAACAAACAAACAAACAAACAAACTATATCATGTAAATTTAAAAGTCCGAGAGCCCTTTAAGACTTATAGTAAAAAGGAGAAGTCCCCACACCTTTATTAGTGCCCAGTTTTCATGCTTCAAAGACAAGTTTTTCTGAGCGACTTTCCCTCCGTGTACCCCTGGCTGGCCTCAAACTTGCAACCCTCCTGCTTCAGCCTGCCAAGTGCTGGGATTATAGGCATGTGCCACCACACTCAGCTAATATTAGAGAATTTTTGTTGACATCCTCCTGTGGAACATTCTGCCTATTCTCTTTCCATCCTCCCAAATAACTATCACAATGAGGGCTAGATCTATAAGCAGTGAATAAAGCATTATAAAAAAGAAAGTAAGTGATATTCACATTTATCATGACAGTGTACTAAATAGCTTTTCTTTACTTTAGACTTTCCATTTTCCTGGAAGTTAATAATCCATTTTAAGTTTATTTTCTATGCAATTTCAAATGTGTACTGCTTAGCATATTGCTGGTTCACTCCACATTTTCTGAAAGAAGTTTAATTTTTCTTTCATGTTGTCTCGGTTACTTTTCTTTCGTTGCTGGAACAAAATACCTGACACCCCAATTTTTTTTTTGTCTTTTTTTGAGACAGGGTCTTGCTATGCAGTTCAGGCTGGACTTAAGCTCACTTTGTAGCCTAGGCTGGTCTCAAACTCACAACGATCCCCCTATCTCAGCCTCCTGAG